CGCTTGATCTGGGTAGAGGGGCACACACATTAAATCCCAGGATAGAGGAATTGAGGGACAGAGGCAGGTGGATCTCTGAGTTTGAAGCTAGCTTGGTCCACATAGTGAGTTCCTGGCCGGCCAGAGCTACATTGTAAGACACCATGTAAACAAAAGCAACAATGTTTGAAAAACAACTTAGGACAGGGATGGTTTTCATGATTCCCCTTCTCAGTCAAAGAAGCTTCAGGCCGGTCCACCATATCTAAAGGTAACAGGGGAAAGTTGGCTCCTGGGGAGTGTTTCCATCTTTCAAACCCTTTCTCCCAAGCACTAAAAACTGCACCGGCCTCTGGATCTACGGTCCTTAAAGTGTGGTTTATTCCTATGGTTCTTGACTGGAGCCAGAGAAGATACACATGGGATGAGCGCATGGAGGGGGTTCTGTGTGCAGGACAGGGCTAATCTCTGCATGCCAGGAGTGTGTGGGATATAGAGCATGTGCCTAGATGGTGTCCGTGAGCATGTGTGTCTGGGTGTGTCCCGGTATGCACATGTGTGTGAGGCAATGTAAGTGCATATCTTGCCTTTTGATTTGTTGAACTTGGAGATAGATGCCCCAATGATCTGGGAAAGGCTCTGGAATCCGACCCATTCAGATCTGGGTCAGAATCCTATCTTTGCTATTTCCTAGTCTTGTGTGCGTGTGGTCTTCCTCCCCTCTCTCAGACACTCTTGAAATGCAGGCAGTCAGAGCTCCGCCCCTGCTGCAGCCTTGGAGGGGGCACTGGGAAGGGTCATGGAGGAAATGTGTTCGGCACACGGGGACCACAAATCACCCCACATCGGTGCAGTGAAGCTCAGGCTGGCCTGTGGCAGTTGCTGCAGACTGCCCTCTGAATACTCCCCCTGCCCCCCAATCAGGTGCACAATGACCCACAGTGTGGCTCTGCCCACTACACCTGCCCGAGGTCTGTCAGCCTCTTCCTTTCGGGGGAACATGAGATCCGCCTGGCCAAGGAGGTCACCCATGGAGGTGTGAGGTAACTATGTCCTTTCACTTCCTGACGTGGGGCAGAGGCCATCTGTCCTTGTCAAGGTGAAAGGAAATCAGTAGCTGAGGACAGACAGCCCTTCCCACTCTGAGGCAGAAGTGCGCACCTGGCCAGTATGTGTCTAGCCTATGGTACTGGCAGATTCCTGGGGACACCTGACCCAGAGTGAGCCCCTGTCTGAAGTGTCCTTGCTCTCTTCCTCCGTGCTCTGTCCTTCCTTGCTGTCTGGTGTCCTGAGTTGCCGCCCCACCTCCACCCCCGCAGACCCAGTGCCTGCCCCAACCCTGGACCTGGCAGGATAGTGCCAAGGGCAAAGCTGTGGCCTGAGGGGTTTCTCCTGCAAGTCAAGTGGGTTCAGACCTACCCCTGGCTAGATGTTGGCGTCTCTGGTCGGCCGGGCGGAAGCTGCCAGATTCCAGACCCCGTGGCTGTGAAACCGAGATGGGGCAGGCAGAGCAGGGATCCTCTCTGTTCCCGACCTTCTGTGCCTCCCCTCGCTCTGCTCCTTCCCTGTAAAACAGCAAATGAAAGCCTTCGTGTATGCCACCGTCTCCCTCCCTCCTGTCTGGGAGAAAGGAGCTGCTGGATTGATTCTCTCAAGATTTATCCCTGCCAACCACACTGTAATTTTGTTGTTGTTGTTGTTTTGTTTTTTGAGACAGGGTTTCTCTGTGTAGTTTTGGTGCCTGTCCTAGAACTCTCTCTGTAGACCAGGCTGGCCTCAAACTCACAGAGATCTGCCTGGCTCTGCCTCCCAAGTACTGGGATTAAAGGCGTGCGCCACTGCCGCCAGGCCACATTTTGATTTTGAAAGACCTCCCTGATGATAGAAGAATCCTGATGCACTTGGGTGCACTTAGGAATTCTGGGAACTTGGAGGACGGGGACATAAGGAGCTCTTGTCACTGGGTTAGGGGCAGCCGGCCTTGTGGTGGAGAACAGGGCCCGTGGGGGTTACGTGGGTGCTCTGCAGCCCTGGCTTTGCTCTCAGGGTCCAGCTGCCCCAGGCGGTGGGGGCTGTGCAGCTGCAGCAGCTGGCTGGTTACGTCATCGCACGGCACCCATCGGCCTTCACGCTGGCCTGGGATGGCACCTCAGCTGTCTACATCAAGATGAGCCCCGAGTTTCTGGGCTGGACACATGGGCTGTGTGGGAACAACAATGCTGACCCTCAGGATGACCTGGTGACCAGCTATGGTGAGTCCAAAGGGAGGCACCTTGGGGGATATTTTGGTGGCCATGGAGACTGGGTCAGGATGGGAGTGGTTCCTCTGCCCAGACCTCTGATGTCATGGTTGCTGATGGTCGTGAAAACCCAATGGGATGAGGCAAGGGCTTGCTTTGAAAACTGTCCTGTCAGGCATGTTCTCAGGCATGTTCTGGGCCTCGCTCTCCTCAGCTGTACAGTATTCATGATGAGAATCCCACCTGGGGTTGTGTGTAGACCCCCTGCACACTCTGCTAGGCCGGTTTGATCCCACAAGGTTTCCAGAGGAAGTGGGAATCAGGGCCCTAGAGAGCTGGGAAGAGAGAAGGCCGGCCTGGAGCTGAAGTCTCTGGTGGACAGGTTGGTGAGAGATAGAGGTGAAGCCCAGGGCACCATGGCGGCCCAGGCAAAAGCTCAAGGATGCCCTTTTGAGTACCTGCCATGTGCTGAGCACCATACAGCTGTGGTTCTTGGCGGCAGTCTCCCTGGGGCTTAGCTCCCTTTTCTGCACATGGGGAAACTGAGGCAGAGGTGGGTGCGGGTGCTTGCTCAAGCTTGCACACTGTGCCTCTCGGTTGTACCACGTTGCTTCTGTGGAGCGTGGAGCAGCTGTGAGACAGGTTCTAGGGCATTCTCATCTCTTCTGATGAAGCAGCTTTTCCCAGAGACTGGCTCAGTCGGGAACCCAGGGGAGGGTGAGAGGCTGGAGGCTGGCCTCCTCCCAAGGGCTTTCCCTTGCCACCTGCTGCTGCTCAGAGCCGCTAGCTAGTCCTACCACTCACCCCTTCGTCAGGACACCGCTTTTCCCTGCAGGGAAGCTGACGGATGATGTCGGGGAGTTCGTGCTCAGTTGGCAGGAACAAGGCCCCAACGGCCCCCCAGGACCTGTGACTTCTTCTCCGCCTCGACCGCCATGCCTGCAGCAGAGCCCAGCATCCATGCAGGTCTGTGTCCTTGGGAGAACCCCCACACACACACTGTGCCCCACTGCCCTCAGTAGAAAGCTGTTAGTTGCAAGGGCCCAAGATGGCTCTTACCCATGTCCCCTTCCTTTTTCTCTCCACCTTCCTTTTGTGTAAGTTGGGATTCCTGTGGGGATGGTGAGTCAGAGAGCCATGCAGTCCTCCCAGCCCAGCTCCCGCCTCTGCCCCACCCAGGGTGTGTATGAGCGATGCGAGGCGCTGCTGAGACCTCCCTTCGACGCCTGCCATGCCTACGTCAGCCCCCTGCCCTTCACAGCCAGCTGTACCAGTGACCTCTGCCAGTGAGTGGGCAGAGGATGGGTGGTATTGGATTGTGGGGAATGCCTCCCAATATGGAGACAAGGCTTCAGGATGTGGGTCACCGAGCCCAATAATTCTTGGCCCTAACAAAGCAGCTTGCCAGAGCTCTGAGATTCCCATTTGCCAAGATGGGATTCAGCTGTCCCATTTAACTGAGGCCCAGAGCAAATTGTTAGCAATGCTGGGACTTAAATCTAGACTTCCTGCTTTGAGTCTAGGGCTCTGTGTAGCTGGATACCTTCCTAGGCGAGGGTGCCCTGAAGTTCTTAGAGTGTCTATGGTAGTGGTTCTCAACCTGCAGGTCATGACCCCTTTGGGGGATCGAACAACCTTTTCATAGGGGTCTCCGAAGACCATCGGAAAACAAACACAGATACTTACATTGTGGTTCATAACAGTAGCAAAATTACAGTTATAAAGTAGCAACGAAAACAATTTTATGGTTGGGGTCACCCCAGCATGAGGAACTGCATTAGGAAGGTTGAGAAGCACTGGTCTATGGGGTGGTGGGCTGCTGACAGGCTGAACTTCCTCACATTCACTCTCTTTGTACAGATCAGGAAGCAGTGATGGCACTTGGTGCCGAGCACTGACCGAGTATGCCCGGGCATGTGCACAGGCAGGGCGCCCTCTGCAGGGCTGGAGGACCCAACTCCCACAATGCAGTAGGTGCAGTTTGGAGGTGGGCAGGAAGGGGTGCAGATGCGTTAGGTTGAGGGTTATGTGTGGCAGCCACAGGCCTCAGCTCAGTGCCCTGTCCTGCTGGCTGACAGCCACAGCTGTCAGGGCCTTAAGCTCTGAGGTTCTGTCCCTGTGACACACGGGAGAACTAAGGCTGATCGTGAAGAGTGGGTCTGTGGCTGCAAAGTGAGATATAAGTGGTTCTCCGAGCACCCCGGCCGGCTCTCACCAGTCTCTTGGGCACCAAATACTCCACCTGGGACCGGGTGGGGACCAGGGACAGGAGAGTCCTCCCATCCCCATCCCAGGACCTGGGGTGAGGGTGGGTGCTCGCCAAGCAGAC